CCTAGGATCGATGACCTTTTGGATATGGTGCAGGGCTGCACAATATTCAGCAAAGTCGATCTCAAATTTGGATACCACCAGATTGATCTCAAATCTGGATACCACCAGACTGAGATGGCAGAGGAGGGTGTCTATAAGACAGCCTTCAAGACCAGGTATGGTACTTACGAGTTCTTGGTCATGCCATTTGGACTTGCAACGCCCGAGGCACCTTCCAAACAGAGATGCACCGCATCTTCAGGCCTTACCTGGACAAGTTCATGGTTGTCTACCTAGATGACATCCTGGTATTCAGCAGAACTGCAAGGGAACATGCGGAGCACTTGGCTCTAGTCCTTCAGCCATTACGTGACAACCAATATAAGATTAACAGAGAGAAGTCCTCCTTTGGAGTTCCCTCTGTCATCTATCTGGGTCACATAATCTCTGGAGATGGTCCGGCTCCTGAAGTAGCCAAGATAGCTGTTATTCACGAGTGGCCTCATCCACAGACAGTGAGGGATGTCAGGTCCTTCATGGGTTTAGCCTCATACTACAGAAAGTTTGTCAGGAACTTTTATGCAGTGGCTGCACCCCTGACCAACCTAACAAAGAAAGCCACTCCTTTTCTTTGGTCCCTTCCCTGTCAGTTGGCCTTCACACGACTCAATAAGGCCTTGACTCGTGCACCAGTGCTGACGTTGCCTGACCCCACTCTGCCATTCATCCTGACCACTGACGCCAATCAGTATGGCATTGGGGCAGTTCTTCAGCAAGATGATGGGAAGGGTCTATGACCAGTAGAGTTTATGAGTAAGAAGATCAAGACTCAAAAGCTTCAGGACTCTACCTACGAGAAAGAGTTGTATGCTCTTGTTTGTGCCCTGAAACATTGGAAGCACTTTCTCCTGGGAAGACACTTGAAGATCTTTTCAAACCACTCCACCTTACAGTGGATGAAGTCCCAGGGAGAGTTAAATGATAAGTCGGCACGATACATTCAGTTCATAGACATGTTTGACTTTGAACTGAAGCATAAGAAGGGCTGCTACAATAAGGTAGCAGATGCCCTCTCTCGTAGGCCTGACTCTTTTACACTGATCTCCTCTACTCACTCCTTTGGAGAGGAGACCCGTCAGACCATTGCTCGTCTTCTGCATCAGGACCCGACTTATGGACCCATAGTCAGGAATCTGCAAGCAGATCCCAATTCTGAACCCGGCTATGCCCTGAGTTCAGACTTGTTGTATACCTACAGCAGAGGTGAGGAACGCTTGTGCATTCCCCAGGATCAGCGGCTCAGGACACTGCTGATGTCAGAGTGTYATGATGCCCGTGGACATTTTGGGTTCTTAAAGTCCTATGCAGCCCTGTCGCAGCRCTTCTTCTGGAGGGAGATGCGGAGTGATATGCTGCGCTATGTGGAAACCTGTGAGCTTTGCCAGAGGAACAAGGTCCAGCGTAGGCCTCCTCTGGGACTACTCAAACCCTTACCCATACCTGATGGCCCTGCTGAATCTGTGTCGATTGATTTCACAGATTTAGGCAAGACCACCCCTCGTGGCATGCGTCAGGTAATGGTCTGCGTGGACAGGTTCTCCAAGTACGCAGAGTTCATCCCCCTGCCAGAGGTAGCTAGAGTCCCGGCTGTGAGAGCAGCCTTTTCAGAGAGGTGGGTCACACACCATGGGCCGCCCACTTCTATAGTCAGTGGTAGAGACCCCCGATTTTGCAGCGATGAGTGGCAGTCCTACTGTAAGGACTACCTGCACTCACGATTGGACATGACCTCTGGTCATCATCCTGAAGCCAATGGTCAGGCTGAAGTGATGAACCAAGTCTTATTCCATTTGCTGCGTCCTGTCATCTCTCCACATCAGCAGGACTGGGATCTCCACTTGGCTCGGGCACAACTTGTTTATAACATGTCTGTCCATTCCTCGACTGGGTTCAGTCCATACCGGTTGCATTGGGGACATGAACCACGACGGCCTCTCGATGATATCATCGATAAGGCTAAGTCAGACCTGACAACAGGCACCGCAAAGTTCACCAGACGCTACCGCATAGATGTGGAAAGAGCACGGGCAAACTTGTTCAAAGCCCAAAAGGCAATGATTGAACAAGCTAACCGCCACAGGCGGCCTTCCCCCATCCGCACTGGTGATTATGTCTGGGTAGCCAGTTCTGAGTTATCGAGGGAGGAGGATATCTCCCCCAAACTGTTGCCTCGTTATTTGGGTCCATGGCAGGTCTTAGATACAGTGGGCGCTGATCCATTCGGCCCATCCTATGTCATCGACGTCCCGCTGCATCGACGAACCTACCCGGTCTTCCATGCATCTAAGCTGCTTCCATTCACTCCAGCTGATGCATTCCTAGACCGGCCCCCTCAATTTGGTCCACCGATCCTTGGCAAGGGGTATGATGTGGAATAGATTGAGGACGAGTGGGGCACAGGCCCCGACCAGCAGTATCCTGTGAGGTTCGCTTTCCAGCCTCCTACTGAGAACAGATGGTTCTACCGAAGGGAACTTCTCAAGACAGCAAAGTCAGTTGTTCTGCAATATGAAGCGGCTCAGAAGGGCAATCTTCATCGCTGTTCACCTCGTCTGCATCCCTAGCTCGGAGGTCCTCGCTCCCCGGGAGGGTAAGCTTGCAACGACTTGCTGATTTTGACTGCCGAGACTGACTGCGAGGTTGTACAATAACAACGGCAGGGTAGATTCGTAATTTTGTTTGGCTGAGGGCTAACCGAGAGACCAACCTGTACGGAAAATTCGTTAGGGACATATCTTCAAATATGGGAAATATAGGCCAAGCACTAACCCGAATTTCCTACAGCTACCCCTACTGCATATAGCAGACCCGGGCTACCCCTAGGACGGACAGGCCCGAGGGGCCTAGATCGATAGACAGTCCTATAGCCTATAGCCGGGTAGGGAGGGGCCGAGAGGCCGAAACTGGAACGGTACCGGTCGGTACAGTCAGTCGGGTCTAGGTCTAGGCTAGGAAGTGTAGATCTATTAATAGATTAGGAAAATCAGTTCAGGACTTTTGGCTGTTCATTTTCGCCAAGCATTGTTTAGAGAAGTCAAGCAAGTTGGCGGTGGTAATTATCTACAGGCGGCATCCTGAGACCCTTGCCGCGGACACCCTTGCCGAGGACAGCAGCCATAGCCGCCCCTCCTGAAGGTTGTCAGGGTTGGGAGATCCTCAGCGCATCTACCCCTGAGGGTATCTGCATTTGGCCGGGCTATCTCGAGGCTCTTCACTGAGTGTTTGTGGGTGGCGGCAGCCATAGCTGCCTGGTTCTTCGTCAGAGTTGTTCATCGGCACTGAAGACTTCAATGCAGGATCTATTCTTCATCTGGGTGGTTGGCGTTGGCCTCAGGGAGGCTATTTCGGTGTTGCGCTACTAACTGGGTGTAGGGTAGAGAGTGGAGTGTGGGGTTCTGAGTGTGGCGAGATACTGGAACAAAATCTGTAACGATATTTGGTTTACTTGGCTCATCATCAATGTGAATTCCAATTGTTATCCTCGCAGGTTTTCTTCTTGTGATTGGTTGTTGGGAGTATTGTCAGAGAGTGACGAACACTGTGTGTCTTCTCTCCACCTTTGCATAGCTGTATTCCGCTGCCTATTTTGATCTCTGTACTGTCAGGACTATGTATCCTCTCCCCCTTTTCTTATGCACCTTTGCATAGCTGTATTCCGCTGACTATTTTGATCTCTGTACTGTCTGGACTATGTATCCTCTCCCCCTTTTCTTATGCATGTATGGGCGTGTAGGAGGCTATTTGTGTGTGAGTGGCAGTAAAAATCGTCAGACAACCAAGTTCATAACACATTGGTGCTGGCATAGTTTGCCACTCCCGGGTAGAGGGGAGGCTGGCAGGAAGGCTGTCGAGCGTGGGAGCTGTGGCGACAGCGGGTGTGTGTGGGATGATGAGAGCTGACATACTAGTTTGGTTGAGGTGGCACTGCATTGCATTGTGGGTGGTACCGAGGCTATGACCGATCATCAAAATGCACATCGACTCAATTTGTCGAGGACCCACTAAGTTTCGGGCCCTCCTCGACATAGGAGCCTCCGGTTAGGCAACGAACAACGTCGCCTCAACACCATTATCTCCACCGCCAACTCATCCCGTTTCCACCTCAAATTCAACGCCGCCACCCTTGGTGCGTCTACCACTAAGTTTCGGGCTCTCCTCGACATAGGAGCCACCGGTAACTTCATCACCGACGCGTGTGTCCGGAAAGCCGGTCTCACCTCTACCGGTTACGACTCCCCGATTACGATCCGTCTAGGGAACAAAGACACCGCCGTCGTAGTGGACTGCACGGTTCCCAAAATCACCATGACAGTAGGAACCCTCCGCAGTCAGGTCTCATTTGATGCCATGCATTTGATGTGCGACATCGTCTTAGGAACACCGTGGCTGGACCGCTACACGCCATACACATTGCACCCCAACTTCCTCCGCCTCACCAGCCCCCTCGACACAACCATCGACATTCCCTATCTCCCACATCCGACCTCCCAAGGCTCTGTCACCCCGCATCAATTCCTCCACATGGCCCGCATGAACCCCAACTCCGCCTACTATTGCCTTGTCCTTGACCGCGAAAGTCCCGAGGACTTACTCCCAACGAACAAACCCGATCAAGCCCCCCCCTTTGACCCCGCCCTCACCTTTATCTTCGACGAGTTCAAGGACGTCTTCCCTGAGTCCCTGCCTGCCGGATTACCTCTGGATCGTGGCGTATCCCATACCATCGATTTGGGGCCCGGACATTCTCCACCTTGCCGCCCTCCATACCAACTCTCGGCCCCGAAGCCGAAGAAATGAAGCGGCAACTCAATGAGCCCCTTGAAAAAGGGTTCATTAAGTCGAGTTCATCTCCCTTCGGTACTGGCTGCCTTTTTGTAAAGAAAGTGGAACTTCGGAACTCCGCATGTGCACACACTACCGCGCCTTCAGCCGGATCACGATCAAGAATAAGTACCCCTTACCTCGGATCTCCGAGCTCCTTGATCGACTTTGTGGAGCCAAATATTTCACCAAGATTGACCTTCACAGTGGCTTCCACCAGATCCGTATCCGCGAGGAAGACACCCATAAGACCGCATTCCGCTCTCGGTTCTAGCACTATGAGTTCCTCGTAATGCCTTTCGGACTAACCAATGCCCCCGCCACATTCCAGTCCACCTGAATCACATCTTCCGCGGCCTCCTCGAAGTCCGTGTCATCGTGTACCTTGATGACATCCTCTCTTTAGCCCCACCTTCGAGTCCCACCTCCGAGAGCAGAAATTCTACGCCAAGCTCAACAAATGTACGTTTTGTCGCTTCGAGCGTCGAATACCTCGGCCAAATTGTATCCGCTGAAGGCATCCGTATGGACCCCTCGAAGGTCACAACCCTCGTCGAGTACCCCCTACCCAAGACCCTCCAACTCCGTTGTTTCCTCGGCCTTGCCAACTATTACCGCCCGTTCATTCACAACTTTTTCGAGATCTCTTACCCTCTCCACGAACTCACCCACAAGGACGAGCCCTTCAATTGGAACGATCGCCGCCAATACGCTTTCGACTTACTCAAGCAAACCATCACCACGGCCCCTGTCATCGACATCGCCGACCCCACTTGCCATTTCTATGTCACCACTGACGCCTCCCACTTCGCCATTGGAGCCATACTGTCCCAACATTTCCCCCGCGACACCGTCGAGACCCCCTCCATCAAGGACTCGCCCACTCACCCCGAGGCTCCACCTGGCGAATACCCCATCGCCTTCACAAGCAAGAAGCTCCTTCCCGCGGAGATGAATTACCCCTCCAACGAGAAGGAACTCCTCGAAGTGATTCACGCCCTCACAGTCTGGCGCCCGTACCTCGACGGGCGATACTTCACCATCCGCACTGACAACACCATCGTCTCCTCCATCCTCTCCAAGAAAGATATTACTCCACGCCAAGCCTGCTGGCTAGACTTCCTTGCCCAGTTCACATTCACCATTTGCCATACGCCCGACAAAAACAACCGCGTTGCAGATGCCCTCTCTCGACGACCCGATCACAAGCCCCCGAGAAAGTCTACGCCGCCATGAGTCATATCCAACTCCTCCCATCACTCCATCACCGATACACCCAAGGCTAACTCTCTTGCCCAGACTTCGCCACCATCTACAACAAGCTCCGCGATCTTGACCCAGTTCACATTCACCATTTGCCATACCCCCGGCAAAAGCAACCGCGTTGCGAATGCCCTCTCTTGATGACCCGACCACAAGCCCCCCGAGAAAGTCTACGCCGCCATGACTCATATCCAACTCCTCCCATCACTCCATCACTGATACACCCAAGGCTACCTCTCTTGCCCAGACTTCGCCACCATCTACAACAAGCTCCGCGATCTTGACCCAGTCCCCGACTACTCCCTTCACGACAACGTTCTCTACATCGATATCAAAGGCACTCACCGACTTTGCATCCCTGACGCACGTGTTCTCCGTACTCAACTCTTGGCCGAGCACCACGACGCCAAGACCGCAGGACACCTCGGTTTCTAGAAAACCTTCGACACCATCTCCTGCTACTTCTACTGGCCTTCCCTGCTCATTGGCGTCAAAGCATACATTCGCTCATGCCCCACGTGTCAAGCTGTCAACCCCTGGAATCGGGCCAAACCCGGCAAGCTCCAATCATTGCCCATCCCAACTCACCGATGGCAGTCCATCTCCATGGACTTCGTATGCGGCCTCCCCAAGACCGACCGCGGGCATCTACGTCATTGTCTGCCGCTTGACCAAACGTGCCCACTGCATTCCTTGCACGACTTCGCACCGTGCCAAAGACTTCGCCACCCTCTTCTTCGATCATGTTGCACGCCATCACGGCCTCCCCGAGAACATCATCAATGACTGTGATCCCCGCTTCCTCTCACAATTTTGGAAACACCTCTTCAAAGCATATGGAACCACGCTCAAGTAGAGCACTGCATTCCACCCCCAGACCGATGGACAAACTGAGAAGGTGAACAATACTCTCCAAAGAATCCTGCGAAAGTATTGTCATCCACACCAACTCGACTGAGACCAGTTGCTCACAGCCGCCGAGATCGCCTATAACAATGTCGTCTTCCCTTCCACTGGCATGTCCCCGTTGTACCTCGACCTTGGCTACCATCCTCGCTTGCCCTCCGACTTCCTGCTTCCCTCGCAGCTCAACCCCTCCACACCCTGCCCTTCCCTCAATGAATGGGTAGCAACAACTAATCGACTTCTCAAAGAAGCAACCGAAGCCCTTGAAAGAACACAAGAACAACAAGCAAACAAGATTAACAAACACAGACGAGACTTGCAATTCAAAGTCGGGGACAAAGTCTGGCTCTCCGCCAAACGCTTTGAACCCGAACATGGATTGTCAAAGAAACTCTCGAACGGACCCTTCCCCATCATTGAAAAAACCTCCGACGTCAACTACAAACTCCCAACTCACCCCTGACATGAGTCGTGTCCACCCTGTCTTCCACATAGAATACCTAAGAGAGTATCATGAATCCCCACCTCAATTCGTCGACCGACCTCACCACCGACCTCCACCAATCATGCTTCCCACGGGCCCGTAATTCGTAGTAGAATCCATCATAGGACGACGAACTACACAAGTATCAGACCATCCGAAACCTATCACCCTATATCCTCCTAGTAATAGGAAAGCACTGACAATCTCATCAGTAATCGGGAAGGGGTCTATGCATCTGCACAACGCAGATTTCATTCTACGACATAGAGACAACTTCAGCCTAGGGGGAATTTAATATTGGATCTTTGCTATGTAAACTTTAGTTTACCGAGGGTTCAAGTCCCTCTCTTTCCGTATTTTCTATTGCTCTTAAAAAAAAACATTAAATAATAATATTGATTTCGAATGAGCATCTATTCCCCATCCTTAAACCCCTGCATAAACCCCGCCTTGACCCCGCCAAAACCCCGCATTCCTGCCCTACGCACACCCCTGCCCCCAACAAATCCCTTGCCCCTTGACCTCCCTCTGTCTGATCCGCTCTTGCCTCCGTCTCGCCCCCTTCTCCCATCTGTCCTCCGCCACATCCGTGTCTCTCTTGTCCAAGTTCCCTATGTGGCCCCTGCGCGTCGCCGACGATAATGGATCTAATGGCAAGCGCACGAGGACAATGGCATGCTGCAACTCAGTACAAGGAGATAAGACAACTGGTTGGCCACCATGTTGTTCCCTTTGGCCGGCACCTTGGACTCGTAGACTTCTGGAGCTGCACCTCTGACAGGGACATCAAGATCAATCTGCGACCTGCTATCCGGATCAGACCTCAGCACTAGATCCGAGTACCGGACGCTTCCTGCTACTGGGACATTCAAGATGAAGCTCTCGCCGTCCACATCACAGACCTGCTGAAGACTGCTTTCTCACCGGCACTTCTGCAACACCTTTCAAGACCTGTTCTCAAGACATCAACATGGACTGCAACACAAAATTTTCAACCTGTACCATTAAATCCCCGACCCTCAGCAACCCCGCCCCGTACATCGCAAGCCAAATTTCCTTTTTTTTTTTAGGACCACATAACCTATTTTGCCCTGAACCTCCTAGTTCATCAGTAGAATTACCTTGTTTCCACGTTGTTTCCAACCCCTTAGTTCATCAGTAGGATTACCCTGTTCCCTGTGGTTCCCAACCCCCTTAGCACACCAGTAGAACTACCCTGATTCCTGCAAAACCCCTTAGCTCGTTGATAGGATTACCCTGTTCCCCGTGCTTCCCAGCCCCCTTAGCACATCAGTAGAAATACACTGCAAAAACCTTAGCTCGTTGATAGGATAACCCTGTTCCCTCTTACTCCCCGACCCACGCCACCCACATTCAACCCCTTCTTCCTTTTGACATGTTGACCAGTGATCGGCCCCGTCACGTCTTTCCCAAACTTCAGCATTGTATCATGGCTTTTGGCAGCCGGGACGTTGCCTTCTAGGGGGAGGGGATAATGTTACGGACTCAGCCAGGGATCGATCCCTGGTCCGCGGGGTACCACCCACCAAACTGCTTTTTTTTTTTTTTTTTTTTTTTTTGATTTCCTGCTCTTCGGTTTCTGACTGTTGGCGCCCTCTGCAGTTAACCCGATTGCAAATCCCTCCTTTGGCACTTTCGAATTTCGACACTTGGCGCCATCCAACATTCTGGCGCCCAGACTCAAACCTGCAACCCTCAGTTCAGTCCTGAGGCAGGCCGCACCTCGGCCCTCCGGACTGAGCCTGAGTTCGGCACTTGAGACCGGACTCGAGCCCCGTTGGGGCATTCAATCTTCGGCCTTCGTGCTTGTGCTTCAATGTGACTTGCTGCGACTTTGCGTTCGGAATCCAAGATTGCAGCTTTGCGACTTCGGAATCCAAGATTGCAGCTTTGCGACTTCGGGACTTTGCCATGCCGTGTCTGCATCCATCGTGCCGAGTCGAGACTGTGTCTGAGTCGAGTGAGTGTGTGTGTGTGCTCTCACTCTCTCTCTCTCTCTTCTCTTTCTCCCTCAGCCTCGCCACTCTGTCTCTGCCTCGTCACAGGGTTGGTATAGTTGTGCTTCGCTCCTCCTCCTCCCTCATTCTCCTTTGCACCCGTTCTTGATCCGCATCAACCCATGCCTTTGCACAGTCGGCCTCCTCCTCATCTGTATTGATTGGACCGAGGCGAAGCACCATCTCCATGTCGATGTCAGTCTGTGGTAGCTCTACATCCGATTGGATGTTGTAATGCGCTGTGGAGTTCACCGTGCATTGAGATGGTATTGTGGGCGGCCGTTCTCGACGGCGTTGTTCTGCTTCCCTCCTCCCAACATATGTGGTGCACGGGATTGACGGCGGGATTCCCAACTCGAAGTCATCCTCCGATGACTCATCAACCTCCCTTTTGCTAAACGCTTCCGACCATGGAGTCTTCCCCTTCCACACCTCGTCGTCAAGGTCGCTGTCGTCGGTGCACTCCTCCTCGTTTTCGAGGCTCTTCGAAATTCGGCCCCTTGGTGTCTTGGTGAAGGCCCGTTCCCGCACCAGCTCCCCCTCTGTCTTGTCCTTCTCCTCCAAGGGGTCCTTCAAAATAAAACCATCGTCCACCTCAAGCTCCGGAAGACACTCGAAGAACTGCGCCCACAAGTTGATGTAGTCGTGGTCCTTCAAGTTCTTCCCGGACTGCAGCAGCTGCATATTCCAATGAATATACACCAACTTCTCCAAGGTTGAGGGGTTCAACCGATTCCGCCGCTTCAAGTGGACCAAGTCCATCGAAGACCAATTCCGCTTCGTCGAAGTCGCCGTGCTCCACATGTCCATTACTTTCATGGCAATGGCCTGCAGCTCCGGCACATCGCTGCCACGAGTTTCCCACCACTCCGATGGCGAGATGGTGTCAGAATCTGCGACCGCATCACCATCCCACATTTTCTTGTCCTTCCGTCGGGAGTTGTACCCGGTGGGTTACGTGTGGAACTCTCGCAGGTTGCTGAGAATCTGCACGTGAGCGTTTGATTTCCAAGGATCGTCGATCTGCCGGTGCAAATAACACAACGCATTCTGCACAAGTGCGTTGTCCCGGTCCAACAACCACTTCGGCTCTCTCCTCCTTGGGTCGAGAAGAAAATCCAAGGCGTGTATCGGTTGCCACATCATCTGCATGGGGTCCCTCGCCTTCTCGAGCACCGTACGTCGCTCCTCCTCCGTCAGCACGACCTCAGCCAGAATCCTCTCCATTAGCCGGTTGTACTCCACAAGGTTTGACGGGGCAGTCCCGTCCTTGTCCATCCTCCAAAGCAATACGTACGATGACTCCATCACCTCCACCACCTTCTTCAACTCTGGCCACCAACCCTCCCTCCGCAATGTGAAGAAGACAAGATCCGCTTTGAACTGCAGCTTGGTCGTCGACCACCGCATCGCCTTCCATCACCCGACTAGGCTCCCTTCAACCATCTGCTTCAAAACCGCCCTCCGATCGTACAACCCCTTCATCATCATGTAGACCGACCCAAAACGGACCTCAGTCGGTTGCAACAGCGATAACGAGTCATCCAACGACATCGTTAGGCTATGTGTGCAGTGGTGGTTCCGTAGAAACTTCACAATCGTGTAGCTCCTCTTCACCATGCCCTTGATCGAATCCAACTTGCTTACGTCTCATAGCAGCAAGCTAAAATGCGCAGCACACGGAACCCAAGGTATCCGTGAAATCGCCAAGTCTGTGCACCGCTCTAAAATCTGCGCGGCCTTCTTGTTCACCTCCGCATTGTCGGTGCAAATTGCATTGATGCGTTGCAGCCCGACCTCCCTCATTATCTTCTCCCAAAGTCTGGCCAGCGCTGGTCCGGTCTTCTTCTTTCCATCCATCGACACCGTTGCCACTAGGACCGCTCCCTGCTCCCCCGCCGCCAAGAAATTCATGACAGGCCTTTCCCTCCGATCGGTCGACCCGTCCATGACGAAAGTGCAGCCCGTGACATCCCAGCATGCAGTCAGAGGCTGCACTTGCTTTTGAATGCGCAAAAAGATAAAGTCGAGCATCACCGTACAGATGTGCTTCGCAGAAGGCAATTTCACCTTCGGTCGTGCGCTAGCCACCTCCAAATACACCTCGTGCAGTTTGAGAGTGGTGTCAAAGTTCAAAAAATTGAAAGTGATTCCTTCCCGAAACATTACCTCCGCCCATGCAATGTCCAACTTCTTTTGAGCTGCATTGTCCACCCATCTCGTGATGGTCGTTTGCTGCACCGGAGCTGCCCTTGTGGTGGATTGACACTCTTCTCGCAGCGCCTCCCCCGCTGCACTTTCCTTTCCCCGCTGCGCCATCTCCTCGACCGGCTCCCTCCCTGCAGCAACCGGCGGTTGTGGCTCCTCGTAACCAGGACGAACAACCACGTCCACATCATCGTCGTTTGCTGCATCCCCCCCCTCCGACATGTTGTGCRGCTGTCGGTAGTTCTGCAATAGGTAGCGAGTCTTCTTCTCGCTTGGCAGCACCTTCGCCCCTTGGGCCACCAGCTTATGCACAATCTCCCCTGTCCGGAAAGGGCGCGACTTGAGCATCTTTATGAAGTGCTCAACTGCTCGTGAGCTCGTGCCCCTTCAAATGGTCTAGCATAGCTGACACCTCARCCAATACTCTCCCCGACCCTTCGACACAGCCTCGTGCCCTTGTTCCACGTGCTTCCTTATCTCCTTCTCGCCCGACAACTTCTTTTGCCTCCATTCAGGCTGTGGGACGAACAATGAGGGTCACCCCCGACGAAGGTGTACTTGAGTTGGCGATGTCCYTCCCGCTGCCCTCTCCTCTTTCCAACTGCCTCCGACTTCCTTGTCCACCAATCGCACCCCTTGCACTGCTCCCACCAGCCATGGTGCTGCAACCACCTCTCCCTGCAGCTTCAATTCTCGCCCTGCAGCTTAACAATGTTCAAGAAGAAGAAGAAGAAGAAGAATATGGATTGATGAATGGATGGATGGAGGGAGGGAATGAGGGACAGCGAGATGGCAGGATGAATGGATGAAGGGAGGCTGCTAAGCAACGTCCAAGAAGAAGAAGAAGAAGAAGAAGATGGATGGATGGATGGAGCGAGGCGGGGAGGGATGGCGAGATGGAAGAATCGAGGGATGGAGGAAGGCTGCTAACCAATGTTGAAGAAGAACTAGAGGGAAGGGGGGAGGATGGGGGGAGGGATGGGGGGAGGGACGGCGACAACGGGTGTGTGTGGGATGATGAGAGCATGTTGACATACCGAGGCTATGACCGGTCATCGAAATGCACGTCGGCTCAATTGGTGAGAAATCTGCGGTTGGGGGCAGCTATCTCCAGGTACATTGTTCCCTTACCTTATCTTCCCATCTCAATCTCTTCTTACCATGAGAGTCCAACTTTAGTGTGCTCTTCTGGTTCAGGAGTCGTGAGCACTCTACCTTGAGAGTCGACATTCTTCCTGGCAGTGCATCTAGAAGGAGAGGGCGGCGCCTCTGAAGGGCCCTGGTCGAAGCACGGGTCACGGTCACCATGCCAACCCATGGGAGTAGAGCACGCATGCTTTGCTGCTTTGTCCTTTAAGCTCTTGCTGCACTGTAGAGGGAACGTGGACTGACCAGTCCTATGCAAGACGTCTACTAGACCGTCTATAAATTATATATCTGGCGGGATCTGATCTAACAATGGTTGTGATCATCGTCCTGTCTGCGACGTTAAATAATTCACGAGGACCTTGGGGGCTGTCCTTAAACTGCCTCTTGATCAGCCAGATCAGTCGGATGTAAGGCTCGTTGCACGCGAGGATAAATAACGGGCAGTGCTGGTCATAAGCGGGTTCCTGGGCACAGGGGTGGGCCGTTGTGCATACGACATACACTGCTGCTTGATGATGCAAGTCAGGTTTGTTGGATACAGGGGAAGGGAAGGTTCCAATTGGTGCTCGAACACGAACACAATTATTTCTATTATCGCATACAGTTGTGCACTTATTTTTATTTTGTTTAGTTGAGGTGTGACAGACTGCTAACACCTGACAGACAACATTAGTTTAGAACTGTATCTACCATTGCCAGTTCTGTGTGCTGCTGCTGTAGGAGAACTAATCGGAGTAGGAATAGATCAATTGCTCAGTGTGTGTATAAACTGTTGACCAGGGTTCATCCCTGCCGACCGCCGACCCCGACCGCCAACCGTATTGCAGCCGACCAGTTGGGCCGACCAGTCAACGGTCTGTCGACCAGTACCAAAAAAAAAAAAAAAAAGCGTCCACTGATTTTTTTTCAAATCTGAGTTGGGGGCTGTATTGCGCTTGCTTAGTACAGCCCAAATCCGCTGAGAAACTCTTGGGGATGGGGGGGGATATGG